AGTGTTGCAAGGTTCTAATGTCTTTGAATTGATTAAATATTAACTTTAAATTGTGATAAGTTAAAAATACATATTGTAATCTCTACAGCAACCACTAAAAATTAATTCAAAGAGATATAGCTAAAAGCAATAGAGAAATGGAGTCATAAAAAATATTTGTTTAACAAAAAAAGGCAGGAAAGGATGAACAAGAAATTTTTTAGAAAGATGATACAAATAAAATCTATTTATATTTTTCAAAGTATCACTGTGTTAAAGGAGAAATAACGTGATTACCTTGATAGATAATGAGAGGTAGTATTAACATAGTTAAGAGAGTATATTCTAAAGGCAGACTATCTGTATAGAAATCCCTGCCTTGTTTTGTTAGACTTGCACTATACAAATATTTTGAAATATTGGTAGAAATCTATATGCAATAACTGTTTTGATTATTGTTTGTCTAATACAGGACTGATGGTGAAGTTCTCCCCCCCTTTTATTATATACTTTATGTGTTTGTAAAAATCATATTGCCTCTTCAAACTTAAATATTAGAATTCTAGCAGTGTAATAACTTTATAGTGTGAACTGTTTTCTTTATGCTCTATGGTGGCATATTGTATTTTCACATACTTGAAGTATTGAATTTTAACATACCTGTTTGTTTTCTAGGAGGAGGGTATGATATCTGCCCAAGGAAGAGAGGAAGCATCAGATAGGCGCTTACAGCAGTTACAATCTAGTATAAAACAATTAGAAACAAGGTAAATTATTAAATCTGGCTTTGTTTGTGTGCTTCAAAAGATATTCCATAATAGAGTTTTAGTTTATGATATTTACTAGAATATATATTTTATAAGTTCTAAATCAAAACTATGACCATAGGTTTAAAATATGATTTACTAGACATTGTTTATTAAAAAATCATATTCAACAGACTGTACTTTGAACAATCTTTATATTCAAAGATCATTTGTTTAGTAAAAGTCTAGACCCTTCACTAAGTACATTAATTCGTATCATAATTCTGAAAGAGAACAGTTGTATCAAATTTAGCCCCCTACTTTTATGAAAAAGAATAAAAGCATTGAAAATCATGGCTTGTGTATCAGTACTGCAGCACAAAGCATATCTTCATTTTCATTCCTCTTGATGTTACCCTACAGATTTTGGAGGGAACCTGTCTGATCTTTAGAAACCTAAAATCTTTTCTTCTGAAGAGCAGTTAAAGTTTTAAAATCATAGTGTCAGAGGAAATTTGATATTACCTCTACCTACTCATAATTCTTTACTCCTACAAATCATGCCGTTTCAATAGAAATAATTGAAACAGAAGGCAAAGAAAGAAGAATGTCATTTCTAAAAACTTCTTTTTAGGAATCGTGAGCCATAAACCTTGCAAGAAGGGTTAGCTCCAAGAGCTGAATGTTATAAACTCTTTTTGTATCTTGGGCTCAATATGTCAGGAAAGCCCTGCAAGCTGAAGCTTGATACTCAACTCTGTCAGTCCCCCAGAAGTCAAGCTGCTAGTGCGTTCCTGCTCACCAGTACTTTTCTTTTCTGTGTTCTTGGGAATTCTAATCTCTAGAGGACCTTCAGATCCCTTTCCCAATCACTGTTCTCTGCCCTTGTAGCCATCAACAGTTGGTGCCGTGTTTTTCAACAGGTCTAAGTGAGACAATCCTTAGTTGTTTGAGACTGTGCCAATAATATGGGATGTTTAGCATCCCTGGCACCAAACAGTAACTTCTATTTGCACCTCCTAGCACTGTAGCCACCAAAATGTCCCCATGTATCTCAGATGCCAGTACCATTATAGTTGCAAATCATTGAGTATAGGGCACTGGTATGTCAAAATGATCCCCTTGATACTCTTTTTTCTTAATCCCTTTTCTTTGTACAAGCTGAGCAACATGGCTTGAAATTAGATTGTGGACCTAATGTTAGGTAGGGAGAATATATGTTTGTTCTTTTCAAAAACTAGGAAGTAATTTTTAACATGATGCTAAAAAGATGTCTTGTTTCATATATCAGTTGAGTATTCCTTGGTTAGTAATATCCACATACTTAAGCTAAGATTTTACTACTTCCTCCCCAAACTTCCATTTTAATTATTGAGTTTCTGTGTCATAGCTCATAAAATGATTTTAAAAGATTGGTGGTATATACCAATATATTTGATAATTCATATTTTTATCATAGTACTCCTATAAGTGTTTATACTGATTCATGTTAAAATAATGTGAAAATTAGATATTTTGCAAGTGCTTTGGTTATTTTGTTATGAAATGAAGAATTATTTGTTTAATAAAATTTTCATTTGACACAATGGTTATAATGGAGTTGACAGTAAGTACATGCCTGCCCCCCACTTCAACATGCCTTTTTTGTGCTCAAAATTTTACCATCTAAAATTACTAATAACTAAGACGGGCAGAAGAAAAACGGTGTGACCCCTGAAGGAATCAATAATAATCACTCTGAGAAGAAAAAAAGAGAAATGAAATAAAGTTATGATAGTTTTTGTTTGTTTGGTTTTGGTAATTTTGTTTTGGGCAGGATAAAGGAGGCATATGCAAAGCATACTTGAAACTCATAATTTTATGCCTGTTGAACAGGAGTAATGGAAAAAGTTCTGTGAGAGAATTGAAATATATCTCAGTGTGACTAGATATGATTTTCCATTCATTATCAGAAAGAAAGTCTTTAAGACTCTGTATTCACAGGTGAAGCATAATTTATTCAACATGGATTGAACAGCTACTACGTATCAGTGTTTTAGATTCTGAGGCTCTAGGTGTGGCAAGTATCTGGTGACATCTGATCTTTATCTTCATAGATGACAGAAAAGTTTTTAAACTGCATTATGCTTAGTTTAAATAATGCAAAGGATATTCTGAAGTATGAATATTGTTAAATGTTTACTATGTTGTGTTACATTATTATCAGCAGGGAAAATTCACCAACGAGTACTACAATTAAAAATATGGTTTTTAAAAGATAAGTAAAAATTTAAAATGAAGTCCGGTTGATAGGCATCACTCACTTATATAGTCATCCCTACTGCCTTCTGACCTCCATCATTCATATGCTTAAATTATTAGG